ATGGGTGTGAATGGTTTCAATGAGACACGTTGTATGGAATGTATTTGAGTGCCTAGGTAAAGCAAAATAGCTCTATGTAATTTAATTAATGCTTCAATCGTAAATATGATATAAGGTTACAAATGATTAAGGCCTCTGACAGTGGACTCATCTCTGTGCTTGAGCTGATATACCTCATTGTTGACCATGATATTTTATTGCAACAATTAGAGCTTGTTGTAGATATTAAAGCTACTGCGCTGCAGTGGTTTGAATCATATGTACTTCCAATAGACTCCAATTTCTTCATGTAAATGAAGTGTCCTTTTCACACACTAAAATTAATTATGGAGTTCTACAGGGTTCCTGTAGACGTGGATGACATCTAATTTTCTGCTTCTAAGTTCAGATAAAACTAAGTTTATTGTATTGGGCCCTAAAAATCTTAGAAATATGGTGTCTAACGAGATGCTTGATCTGGATGGGATTACTTAGGCCTCCAGTAACACTGTGGGGAATCTTGAAGCCATTTTTTGACCAAGATATATCCTTCAATGTGCCTGTTAAAAATATATGTAGGGTGGCTTTCTTCCATATTCGCATACTCTTAAAATAGAAACAGCCTGTCTTAAGACTTTCTTTTTTGACAAAACTTAGTTAGGGCTGATCAGGTGACCCTGAATTAACATAACCTTTTATGCTATGTTAGGCTGCAGAATGCCTTGCCATTTGATGAACTCCATCTGCTTTTTTTGGGTCCTCAGCTTTACGATAAACTTAGTCTGCATTATCTGCAGACTGTAACAACACACTAAGAAAGCAATTAGGCATAGAAAAAAGTGTTTGTATGAATGTGAAAATGTCAAATTAGAAGTTATTTTTCAAATACAATCTCATACATGCAATTTGGTCTTGAGGTTTTTCTGTTGTTTATGTGGACATGCAAAACAAGTAAAAAAATCTAAAAAAAAAAAAAAAAAGGTGTGGATGTTTGCCAGTGAGTCTTGTTGTTAATTTGTGGCACACAGTGGCCACTAATGGTACTGCAGCAGAAAAAATACCTTGTTGCCAAAAAGGGAAAAGAAAAAAACCAGCACAGTTTGAAGGGCAAAATGATTTTTTTCAATGCATTCATATAAGTTCCATCTACTTTCTACAAATTATCCAAGCCTGATAATCAGATAATAAACATGCATGTACATATCTCCACCAGGAGGTAACCAGGACACAAATCAATGTTTTTCAGTAATTATCCTAACTTTAGAGTGATGTGTGAAGATCATCTAGATTGACATTTAATTTAAAGCTTCATGCTTCAAGCTTCACTTTCTTTACCGCTAAAAACTACTAAAGCATCCAGTCTGTCCAGCCCCTTGAGATCCGTGAAGCCCTTCACTTGAGGCAGTAATCCACAACGCAATGCAGAAAAAGCACCCTTTTCCTATTGCTACACACAGACTATGAGAGAAAACTATGTGGAAAAACAACCACACTAGGCTGTAGGGCGACCCAATTAATTAAATTAATTAAATTTAGCCTTCCCAAAATTAAATGAGTGAGCGATATGTAAAATAAATGAAAATACACTCTCTTTAAAATGCAAAGTAAAAGCAACTAGGCTCAGCTGCAGTGGAGGGGTGGAGCGGTGGGTTCAGGGGACAGTGCCAGGGAATGCTGGCCAGGACTGCTGATAGCCATCACTTTAACCATGTCTTCCCTATTTCAGCAGCTGCCAGGGCCCTGTGGGAGAGCTGGTGTTTGGAGGTGAAGGAAGTGGCTGGAAGCTGCAGAGAGGTCACAAAAGTGAAAAGCATCATGAATAAACACATACTTACCTTTCAAAACTGTGTATAGAGGGTCTTTTTATAACAGTGGTGCCAAAACCTGGGCTGTGGTATGGTGGACCTGTGACTGGCCCAGCCAATTGAGGTGCTGGCCCTGATGGTGGTTGAGCTGGTGGCCATGCATTGGGAGCAGGTGGTGGTGCATCATTGGCAATTAGAACAGCTACAAGTCCAGTCAAAGAGCCACATAAAGGAGTTGGAGAGTGGTTGCTCTGCTTGTTCCTCAATGACACCACTAGAGTTGATGGGGAAAGGAGATGATCTTCAGGCTTTCTCAGATTTCTTTCAGGCCACAGCAGAAAGACCTGAGAAAAAGTAAAGGCTGAGACTACTCCCGGTGCCCAGGCGGTGACTCTCAACTTAGAGAAGATGGCCGTTGGCTGGTAGTGGACCAATTAGGCCTCGCACCACCAAATCAGCGAGTGGGGCTCCTCGCAGATACTGCAGAGTGGGTCCACTGCCACTGACTGGGCAGGCTAGATGTTGTTGTGACCCTGCCCAAGGATCACCTTTCAGCACAGCTGAGGGAGGTGGTGGGAGTCACAACATCGGCTGGAATCCGCCCAGTTCTCCGAGGAGGAGGAGACAGAAGGGCCTTCTCTGGAAGCTCTGTCAGCTCCAGCTATCTAGTCCACAGGAGATTCCCACTAAAGTAGTTTGGTGACGACACTTCTATAGTTATCATTTGACTAAGTGATAAAAACTGATCACACACGGATCAAAAGTACACTGACGTTATTCTATGAATATGGGATAAGAGGTCATATGGGTTATGACAAAACTTTGGAGCAAATAATGGTCCAATTTTATTGGCCAGCCATTTGGGGAATTCTAAAAGTGTCTTTGTGCTTAACTATTAATTAAGGTTCTGTTTGAGGGCATCAGCTTGGACCTCATATGTCATTTAACCGAGGTGCATAGGGATATATCTTCTTTCTGGTAGATTATGGAATGCAATATCAATTCAGTTCAATTCAGTTTTATTTATGTAGCGCCAAATCACAACAATATTATGAAGGCTATCCCGAAACAGTGCCGCTGCACACCATTTCTGTAAAGAGTGTGGCACAGGCACTGTTTCAGGAAATCTCCCGAGTCGGCATCTTGAAAGAGATACTGACTGACCAGAGCTCATTATTCATGTCTCACACACTAAAAGAACTGTGTAAATTACTCTGTAATAAATCTGTTCAAACCAGCTTCTACTATCCACAGAGGAAACCATTCTTGCCTCCCTCCATTGTAATGGCAATCTCACACAGGCCTAGAGAGCGGATGTTGCTGCAGCGTTTTGCAGATGTGTTCTCCCCCTTATACCAATGTCAGAGAGCAACATTTTGTAACACATCCTGGCATAAACTAAACACAAAAGAAAATTTGTTCAGAAGGAATTAGTAGAAATGCTGAACATGGGAGTTAGAGTCACACAGTGTCCATGTAACCCCATTGTTCTTGTAGTACAGAAGATGGGTCTATTTTCTGGAGAACTGATTGATCAAGAGGTGGTGATTTCATTACCTGTTGATCTTTTCATCTCTGGTCTGGATTAGTGACAAATCAAAGTCTGGCATAGCCGAAGGTGAAGAGCCTGCCCCTCAAAGCAGATCACCATACTTCAAAATACTTCATATTTAGCATTAATAATAACCAAAAATAAATCATATGCATGCTGAAGAGTTGTATGCACCGGAAAGCTACACTAACTTACTCAACTGGTTGAAAAGACATCACAAACTGCAGTATAATGAATGTATGAACGCCAAGTGCAATGATTTCTAATGTTAATCGCCCAGTATCAGCTCACAGCTAATGAATTTCAGCCTTTACAGCAAGCCAGCATATCCATCCAGCTTGATAGGCAGAAAAACAATCAATCTCATTACATTTGTGAAAATGATGTTGTACCATCCAATAAACACAGTGGTTAACAAATGCTTCAGGAAAACTTACCAAATGAAAGAGATGTTATCCCCTATACCTACCATGATTTTCCAACCTCCAGACTTCACAGGAGAACACTATAATATTTCCGGGGTGATGTTCAGTGCGTTTTGACCTTCAAACTTGGTGTGTATTTTGGCATCCAAAGAGTTTGATTTTCCTAGTATTTCACAGGCTTGTCTAAATGCTTCAATATAGTTTTTCTTCAGGAATGGAGTCTTGCATGGTGAGCATGCATACAGACCATGGCAGTTGAGTGTATTGCTCATTGTTTTCTTTGAAACAATTGTACCTGCTGATTCCAGGTCTTTTTGTAGCTCTCCACAAGTGGTCCTTGGCTCTTGGAAAGCTCTTCTAATAATTATTTTACTCCTCTGCCTTTTCCTAGGGTGAGGAAATCTTGCTTAAATCAGTTGGGACAGAACCAGCTGGTATTAATATTCATTAAGTAGCAGGATTGCTTTCTAATTACTGAGAGTTCAGCTGGTGTAATGACTTTCCAAGCCTTTTTGCATCTCCATTTCTATGTGCATGTCTATGTGTCATTTATCATAGTTACTCATAACTTATGAGTACTAATGACAAATAACACAGCTACACAGTGCAGGTAAACAGCTGTAAATGGCACAGGGAGAAAATGTATGGACATCTATGGTTTGATTTCTTTGCATGTGTGTACTGGATGGGTTGTTACTGACATCTGGTGAAAATTTTAAGTCAGTAACACATTGGTGACATGTTCAGTTTTACTCCCTGTTTATATGAATGTATAATAATAATAATAATGGATTGGATTTATATAGCGCTTTTCAAGGCACCCAAAGCGCTTTACAATGCCACTATTCATTCACTCTCGCATTCACACACTGGTGGATATGATGAACTGACTGTGAAACACAAGACTCTTTCACCCATTCACTTATTTCTATGTCAAAGTAATTTCTGTCCAACAGTCACACACACTCACACTCTGATGAATGCAGTGGAGCAACTCAGTATCTTGCCTAGTGATACTTTTGCATGAACTTGTTTTCTGATCTTTTGTGCATAGTGGTTATATGTTGCAGTTTAATTACTGTTATTATTAGTTATACAATAATTGTAATTATTATATAATTACTGGATGACAGAGTAAATTAAGTATGTCAATCTTAAAAAATCACAAGGTAAAAAGGCAAACAGTCACTTTTATTTAACACTTATGGATACTTTTATGAAAAACTTTTGATTTCTAACCTGTAGGATCGGCATGCTCACGACACTCTTCACCATCCTCTTCATTATTATAGTGCTCGTCTTTGTTATAATATCCTCGATGTGAGTGTTCTCGCTGGTTATGGTGATCATAGTGTGTATGTCGTGAATCACGGTTGGCATCGCTGGCATAGGAGTGATGTCTGCGCCTTTTCCGCCGGTGGGAAACTGGAACACCGATGTAGAATGGCTGGGCCTCTGAGATGGAGAGAGAAACATTTCATTTGGATCTGATCAATGCAGTCAGAGCTTGAGGGGTGCTCTGAAAATGGGAACGTATTCTAAAAACTTCTGACTGGTTTCAGCATTATGCAGCATCTAACAGGTTTTAAAAATCAGATGTCATAGTACATGAAATGTATATGTTTTTCAATTTGTGCTCTGCCCTCCTAGAAACACAGTTCACAAGTAGATGTATTTAGTCTGGGAATACCACCTAGATGAGTTTTTTCTGGGTTTTTTAATTAAGTGGAGCTATGTTGTCAAGGATAATAGAGCAAAATCTGTTAGAGAGTAATAAAATGTTCAACGTAATTGTAGAAGGTAAGGATGTCACCTATGCTTGACAAATTTCTGAAGACACTGGAGAAACATTTAGCAGTAACTGGAGTGACAGAAGAAACAGGGGATAGTGGCAGGAAGAGGGTGAGGAAGCATGTACCTTTTGTGTTTCTCCAAAACAAAGGTTTATAGTTCAGGGCAAGGGTTGGGATCATCATTGAAGATGACTTAGACCTCAGAGTTTAAAAAAAATCAGGGCACTTCCTCAGTTTTCTCTCACATGGCAAAACTTTTTTTCAGTTAGTGTTTTTTCTTACTCACCATCATCATCATCATAGTGCCTATGACCCCTACTTCTTCCCTGTTGCCATTCATGGTGATCCATCCTGGAACAGAAACAAGATGACAGAAGATTACCTTGGAAATACGAATACTGAGAAAAAGCACCAGGTGGCAATTCCCTATGTGTTTGTTTTTTCCATCAACGTTTTATTCAAACTGAAAGTTTGAAGTTATAAAGAACATGTCTGCTTCCCAATCCCAAACTTGAAACTGGATCCAGTGGGGAGGGGCCTGGTACCTGTAAGTTCTGCTTCCATGGTCCTTTTGGAACGTCCAAGAATCACAACAATCTTGCACTCTTACAGAGAAGTGCTCTATTGGGATGCTGGGGTACTATGAGGTCTTTAAGATGTAATGGGCTTGGTCACACAGTACTCAAGGTGCTGTTGGCAAAACGTTAGAGAGGAAATGACAAGTGAACCCCTATGAGCACTTTGCGACAGTAGGAAGGAAAAATTCCCAGTAGAATCAGGCCATCAATGCCAGATGGCTGCTAGTTTTGCGCACCATTCAAAGCTCTTCAGGTTAAAAGCCAACCTTGTGTAACCCTTGTGGTGTCCTCGGATCAAAAATGGTCCCAAGGTGAATGGCAAACAAGCATATGGGAATCCCGAGGACACCACAGGATCAGACCTGCAGCCCTACCAGTCCAGGCTACACTTGACACTGCAGTAAGATCTTGTAAAAGGCAGTAACAAATTCTGTACTAAGATCTAGCAGATGAGTCCATTGTCTGAACTTCATTGCCTTTTCTGTGCTATGATCGGTAGGAACTTATGAATGAATCTCTTCATCATTTCCTCTGTAAAAGATCCCAACTTTTTTTTTGCAAATAATTCTCGATTGCAAGTTATTTACAATATCATCATAAGTCACCTACCCTCTAAAGGTGGGACAACAGATATCAGTGGCAAATAAACATTTGGTTTACCAGCTTTATAAACTATTTATATGAGCTATTTTGGTTGCAATGTTATGAAATTGAGTTTTCTATGAAGTGCTTACATATTAAAATATTTACAATGTACAATATTACAATGTTTAATAAAAACATTTCCTATTACATATATAAAAACACTAAGTTTTAACCCATACAAGTATTAATCATTATTTCAGCATTATGTGCATTGACAATGTTCTGTCAGTTTATTACTGCAAAAAATACAAAAACATAAAAAATAAAAATCCTAGATGCCCAGACGTATCATTGCTTTTAGTACATGGTGAAGCTATCACTGGGTGTCTCTTTCCACTGATGACATAAGTTTGTCTTTCTAAAGCTATTGCTTTAGGCTGTTTTCTAGGCTGATCAATACATGTCATTTGTGATTACTTACCACTTACTGAAGCCTGACCACTGACTGTGAAGGACAGTCACATGAGTGGATTCATGCACACACACACACACAAGCTTGTTAGTAATATGTGCATACGGTGAACACCGCAATTAGGTTACAGTAAATAGCTGAATTGTGTTATCTGTGCATTATCACTGTCACATAATCAAATTAAAACACAAATGTCAGGTTGGAGTCATCCTATTTGGGCTGTCCTTTTGGCATCTGTCCTGATTTGAAGACTCAAGTGTTGCATATTTTAAGGCTGGGCTGAGTCACAGTTCTCTGCCAGATTGTGCCAACATTGTGATTGCCAGGCCTTCTTTGTTACCTGTTTGAATTTGTGCTCTTCTTTGTTTAACCCAGATTCTTGGTCATCCCTCCAGTTATTTCTTCAGAATTCTAGAAACCATTTTCTCTGGAGCTCAGTTTACTAGGTGACTGTGAACTCCTTCAGCCACTTTTGAGCTCCAGTCTATCTTCCCTGTTACCGGCAGATGAAAGGACTTATCTGTTCACAACCTTTTCGCCCATTCTCCACCCATATGTTTTTGTTGAGTGTTTGCCAGGAGGACCAAGTGCTCCTCCTGAGCTTACTTTGTGACACCAAGACTCGATCTACAATAACCTCATCTTGACCTCTGTCAACACTATCTCACTTCCCTGTCAGAGATCCTGGTTATGTTCCTGTAGTGAAGCCACTCACCCGTTAGCCAAACATGAGTTGAAATGTTCTTGCCGCTTCAAATTTGCCTACCTTTCAAAATTATTTTAAAGCAGCTAATGGTTGCCAGAGTTTACTCCTTGAATCAATTTTAAACCAAAGTATGAATCTGTTTAGCAGATTACATGTTTGGGAAAAACGAAACAGTTGTAAATAACTTTGACTTTATTACTTCATAAAGGTAATATCACTTTGTGTTCATGTTGGGATGCTTTGATTAGAGACATTTGAAGGTTTGATTAGACTAGAATCCCTGAAAATAGCAATGCTAGGGTGTGGTTCAAAGAGGCTTGTCTTCAAAAATTACATGTACTCTATTCAGTTCAAATTCATTTTATTTATATAGTGTCACAACAACAGTTGCCTCAAGGTGCTTAATATTATAAGGTAAAGGACCCACAATAATACTGAGAAACCCCAACAAACAGACAACCCCCTATAAGCAAGCACTTTAGCAAACTTGGGAAGGCAAAACTCCCTTTTAAAAAAAAGACATTTCTGGCAAAACCAGGCTCAGGGACAAGCAACCATCTGCTGTGACCGGCTGGGGGTAAGATCGTATGTTTATGTAAATAAAATAACACATTTAGGCTATTTCAATGAAAATGTGTTTCCACATACTCTTAATATACATGAACACCAATAACCACAGAAATTCCAGTTAAGCCAGCAATTAAGATATTTTCTGCCAGATTTAAAGTAGGCACCCCAAGTTCTACTGCTGCATCCTTGACCTTATGTACAGCTCATACATGCAGCCTCTAATTCCATTTTTCTTACACAGGCTTTTTATTTTGCACAGTATTACATCAAATTAATTTCACTGATGCTTTTGTCTAGTCATGGGTACAGTTATGAATTGAAAATGCAAAACTGTGCATTATTTTCTTGAGATAAGCTCATGATTGAGAGAACCATTGGGTTGAGATAAGCTCAACCATGCCAGTGGTTGCCAATGGTTGAACTTATCCTAAGCAACATGCACTTACCATCAATCTTTTCGTTTGTACCCTCACACTGTAATTTCCATTGGGAAGCAACTGGTAAAAGGTAAATAAATATTAGGTTATGCAAATGCTGTGCAAAATAAAGTACCAAATTTTATGAGTTTTACGAGTTTTCCAGTTACTCATTACAAGTCTTAACTTAACAAATTGTGTAGTACAATAACAAACTTATGATTCTATAGACAGAGACAACATGCAACTTGTCACAGGATTTATATGGGACTGAGTTAATTTAAAACAGTTTTCCACAGAATCTGCATTTGTAGCGTTAGATTTAACACATATAGATTTATTTGTTTTTTTGTTCTTTTGCTGCAGATGTAGCAGAACCAGAGCTATCATTTTAATGCTCAAAAACCTGGCAGTTACATTGTTTTTCAATGCAATCCATTTATTCAGCTGTATAGATGCAGGAGAAATTTGCTACTGGTAGCTTAGAGCCAAAAACAAAACACTTCTGTATCTCTAGCCTAGAGCTAATAGCTAAAAATGTTCACTGAGCTTTAAAGGTTACAGAGAAAAGCTCTACAACCCGTTTAACTCCTTTTTTCGGTTGAATTTCTTTAAAGTTTAACTAAGTAATCATCTAAAAAAAAAGGCTAAGCAGTAGAAAAAACAAATAAGCATTCACAATAATTCTTTTGCTTTCTTCTTAAAACTGACAGCTGTCTACTAAACCCTAAACGATTTGTAATTTATGTTCAAGCTACTTAAGATGGAATATAAAATGTTTTATTATTCTAAAGAGGTAAATATCAAAATATCAATTTAATAGCAAAATACACTGACAAATATGAAAACCATCTAGATAAAGATGGTGTTTTAATGTTCTCTTACCTGATGTGACAGAAGCTGAATCTGAGATTGCCCGTGAAGAGAAATTTATATTGCCTTTTGTAAGGAAGAGTAACAAACTACAAGATGCCAAAAATTTTCAGTCCTATTCTCTATAGAGCCTGTCAAGGAAAATGCTGCAACTACACCCAACCAGACTGTAAATGAATGTACAGATGATCTAAGTATTGACTATTACATGTGACTCGAGTGTGTGTATGTGTTTGTGTGTGTGTGTTTGAACGAGTGCACACCCAATAAGATTAGAGCAGGGGTAGGCAACCTTTCTGATGGCGAGTGCCATTTAAAATTTCCTCAGAGGTCAGTGTGCCATATGATTGCATTAACAATAAATTTAATAACACTCTATATTAACAGTTACACACTGTATAGAACAACTTTCTAGAATTATAGTTGTTCGCAGATGTTGGCAGCTATCAGCGAATAGTTATCAGCTATTTTGAAACAAAAAAAGACACTTTTTATCCATAACAGCAAATGAACTGTACAACA